CTATAGCACCACTAGTTTCACATTTTCTCAATTTTTTCTTTCCTCTATGGATACAACTGAAATATGACATAGAGAATATTACAGAAGAGTTATCCTCGAATGTGCTACTTTTCGTTGAAAAATTGAAGCCATTTTGGATAAAATGTCGTTTAAGCGCTTTTGTGAAAATATAATTTTAAGCTCTTTTTCACAAAAAAACTTTTGAGAGGTCGAAAAACGTCATCGGTCTATGTGACATGTCTGGAATAGCAAATCCTTTTTGATACGGGATGTCATATTTTTATTTGCCAGTGTACGAGATTTATGCACAGCATTATATTGTCATACGAATACACAACCGAACAAAAGTAGTCTTGTAGAAGTTATGCAGAATATGCATTGTCTACTTCTTTTACACTATAATAGAAGTAATAGATACTTCCTTAATGTTGTGTTTGTTAACTCCTGAATGAGGTAATAAGTAGGAATGAGGTAATTACATTGGCCTTGTTTTCCATTAATTTACGTATTCTATATTCATATTTCAGCCTATAACAAGGTTCTTAGTCTCTGAAATCGACTTAAAACCTTATTAACTAGCAATGTAATGCCGCCTATTTCAGATCAAAGGAAGAAGATGAATGAGCTGCCTCAGAGAGAGTAGTTTTTTTTAACATCCTCCCCGCATTCTTGCCAACATATTAAACCCTTCTTGAGAAAGTAGAGCCTATTTTGTCAGACAATTCCGCAGCTATTCTACAGTATTTTACCGCTACGCTATAATCAATATTTGTGCTAAAGATGGAGATTCTGAGAGATTATTTAGCAATTCTATTCCCTTTCTTGTTTTTTTCTTTTGAATTGTCTTTCCTTTTGGCAATTGGAATTCCTCCAAACTGCTGTGCAACATTATTAACGGTTCAAAATGATGAAATATATTGAAAATAAGAAGCATATATTAAATATGCATTGGTATTTTTATTACGTTTCTTTGAATTTCTGAACGAATTAGAATGTTTTCCGAAAAGTATTGTAATAATATGGAGTGATTAACATTGTGGTTTTAAAACCAGTTAGTATTTGTAATCACTGTTTTTCGTTGTCAAACCCAAGAAAAAAAGACATTTTCTTATTTCCATTAACGTGTACTTATGTGGCGAACAATTAGTTCTCGTGCATCTAATATATCATTTAACATGCCTTTTAGCTCTCTACACGTTGATTTTCTCATAACACTACTTAGTGTATTTTGCAGTACCTCTAGGATGATTTTCCCTCCGCTCTAAATAGTTCGTGAACTTTTCGTGAAACCCTGTTTCTTTTTACAAAGCGGGTCAATCCTAAAACCCTTATGACAATCTTTCGCTTTCAAACGGATACACTGAAGATAGCTACACTTATAAACTATTTTAGCCTGTTCTCATCAACTGCATCAATGATGATGACGTCTATTTTAATTTCATATATAATATTTCTTTTCCTATGACAAATTTCCACTATAAAATACAATCACCAACATTTTTGTCATTGATTTTGTGTTTCATTTCACTTATCTAGGATGTCAAATTAAATAATTTGTTTTCCCCCAAAACGGAACATTTAGAGGACACGTCTGAACGCTTCTTTGATTCACAGTAGCTGTGCAATTTTCAAAACCGCGTGGGAATAAGAGTATCCTGCTTCCTGAGAAGTCATCAATAGTATACACTGGGATAGATTTTATTTGCGAATGATTTACAGCCTCTTGCGGATGATTGAATTTTATCTGAAGCACAACCACTTCGGAGCTTCGGAAGCCACAAAAGTAGCGATTTTTCACTGAACCTCATTTTAAGTAGTATCATTTCAAATGTAAGACAGTTCTTTATAATAACTGTATTGCACATGGTTAACATTAAAAAAAAAACAAAAATCTTGTTTGTCGATCTGAGTTGCCGAAGTGGCTAAGAGCGTGTTCGGACTCAGCGCCACTGTCCGAATGGCCGCGGGCTGGGGTTCCACCTTGGGATGGTTGTTTGTCGCTCATCGTGAATGGATTCTCGCTTATAGCCTCGCGTTCTGCTGACCGCAGATCAGAGGAGTCCGCAAGTGTGTTGGTTGGTGTCTATTGTATGGTCGAATATTCGTCCCATCGCGACGTAAAAGGTAACCGGTTGTCGGCTGGAAAAAGTCCTAGCAAAAAAAAATCGTTCGATTACGAGATGGAGAATCTTCTGCACATGGAAAGAACGTCACCCAACGTGTGGTGACGTATGTGCGAGAGAATATCTTCGTGTCGATCATTCATTGCATCCACAATCTGAGCAACGGGGAAATCTGAGGCACGTGCCCTGGCCAAATTCGGCGACCGCGTGAGCGCATTGCTATTCTGCAGGTGGTGATAAAATTTAAGATGAATGTTGTAAACTTGCACAGGCATTCTTTCCGGTCAGGGTTTGCCTACGCTATGCGGGACAAATTTAGCGCAGTTTCATTTAATTCTATGTGCTTTCTAAATGGATTAAAGTGCATTAAATGGTTTGTTCAGGGAATTACTCCTAAGGAACGTGCTTACAGTTATTTTGGTGTTTCTCATTACCAACAAAAATTCTTATTATTAACTTCATAAGCAATTCCAATGGCTATTTGGCAAAAGACATTTCAGTTATCAGAGATTTGTGTTCTTATGAGAAGTGTATGATGAATTGTTAAATAAGAGTAATAACATACCTACAGTGTTCAGCAGTCTGCCTTGCACAAAGCCACCATCTTGTCGCCAACAGACAGATGAACGCAGAGCCCGTTGGCGCCCCCCCAGCCCTGCCGACACTCTTCTTCCCCGGGAGAAGGAGCTCTCAAATGGCAGTTCACTGTCAGGGCGCCTGCGCCTTAAATTACAGGCATCGTGGGGAGTAGCCCGGGTGATGTTAATGTTCCCAAAAACATGCAACAATAATTTTCATAACAGTTAAAAAAAGTTGGGTGTTACCGCTAAAAATATTTTTAAACAATATTGAAAAATTAAAGTTAAATAGAAGCGTTTCTTTTTAACGCCATATAAAATCTCCAAAATATGAATATTAAAAAGAAGCTCGAAACGGTTTAAAATATTTAATGGTAAAAATAAATGAAATATTTCTGGACAGACAGTATTCTCCAATAATCTGTGGTTAGAAAAGTGCATTACTTAAACATGATTTATTATAAAAACGAAGCAAATTAATTTCTTAAAAAAGGGGAAGCTGTTGGCCCCAAATTCTCAAAGGTGAAAATGACCACGCGAGTACAAGCCCTTCACGGTGCTCTGCAAATATGAACTTACAGGGGCGGTTGTAATCAGCAGTCTTGGCCTTGCATAAAAACAGCCACTCTTGGCCAGAGAAGTACAGGTTCGTCGAAGCCGTACCTGCTCTGATGTCACTCCTTCCTCCATTGACGAGGCCTGGGAACGTGAAAGCTTGCAGCAACACATTTCGTTACGAACACGACCTCTCACCACATCATCCTTGGGGGAGGTAGCCGCAGTGATGGCGGGCGGTTTTCAACAATGGCTCGCAGCGATGGTATTTGAGGCTTTGACAATGAGCTGGAAATCAAGTGGGTTGCGAACAAACTCGGAACTGTGCAATATAAATTATAGTATGTGTGTTATACACAACACTCAACAAATACACACACACACAACACGCACACACCACCACACACACAACGCAACACACACACACACATATATATATATATATATATATATATATATATATATTACTTTACGTTATAATACTTTTGACATTTCAATTTTGTCAATAAAGTTTAATAACTTGACTTATCTCCTGTAATACGCGCCCTAATTGAATAATTATTGTTATTAAAAATGTATACTCCAAAAAACGGGATTCCTCTGTCACTGTCCAAAATATTTTCACGTTCAAAGGGCCAACTCTTTCAATTGCTGTCATTTTAACGCTCTAAATATCGAACTAGTGATACTAAAGAATGCCACAGATTTTCCCGTGTTACTTTCCTGTTTTTTTTTGATCTCGGCTAGAAACGAAACTTGTTAGTGTTTAAGTTTCATCGTTCATTATTAGAAAATTTCTGAAGTTGTAGTGGTGGTTTAGCCTTTCAATGCTTATCGGATGTGAATAAAAAGTTCAAAAATGTCGCCATCAATGATGATAACGTCTATTTTAATTTCATATATAATATTTTTTTTCGTATGACAAATTTCCACTATAAAATACAATCAACAACATCCTTGTCATTGATTTTATGTTTCATTTCACTTATCTAGGATGTCACATTAAAGAATTTGTTTTCCCCCAAAACGGAACATGAAACGTCTGAACGCTTCTTTGATTCACAGTAGCTGTGCAATTTTCAAAACCGCGTGGAAATAAGAGTATCCTGCTTCCTGAGAAGTTATCAATAGTATACACTGGGATAGATTTTATTTGCGAATGATTTACAGCCTCTTGCGGATGATTGAATTTTGTCTGAAGCACAACCACTTCGGAGCTTCGGAAGCCACAAAAGTAGCGATTTTTCATTGAACCTCTGTGGCTTATCTTCGCTTGAGATGTCAGGTTCACTATTTGGAGTGATAAGTGTGCCGGAGGTTCAAAAAATGTGATTCTTTCTCTCGGGAATTATTCGTGAGGAGGTTTGGCGACGGTATCACACCGTAACAAAGTGAATGAACGTGACGTTTGAATCAAGAGGGGTTGCGATCTCTGGGAATAAGTGGGAGACAAAATTATTTTGAAAAAGAATAAGAATAATATTTGTTGATTTATCTGAATATTCCAACACAATACAATAAGTATTTTCAAAACAATAATGTTAGTATTTAGTAAAAACATTAATGTGTAATTTCAAGGAATCATCAGAATAATGGAATGAATACGTATGTTGATGTGTTCTTCAAAGGATTTTTTCGCCTCCAACTCTTTTCAACAGCTATCTTCATCATTAAATGTGGTGAGATATAATATCACAACATCTTAGAATAGGCAATTCACTTTTAAATTCAATTTTATTTGCAGGTGACCAGATAATTTCCACATATCTGCGTGTAATCAACAAAGAATTAACGGAACACTATCAAAACAACCACGAGCATTGCAAAGTAAGTATCATTTGAAATGTAAGACTAATATAATAATATAGTTTATAATAACTGTATTGCACATGGTTAAGATTTTTAAGCTGCAAAAATTTGGTTTGACTATCTGGGTTGCCAAAGTGGCTAAGAGCGGTAGTGGCGTGTGGTGACGTATGTGCGAGAGAATATCTACGCGGTGATCATTCATTGCACCTACAATCTGAACAACGGAGTTGGACGTTCGGGTGTCACCCGCCCTGGCCAAATTCAGTGTCTCCGTGAGCGCGTTGCTATTCTGCACGCGGTACCGAAAATTTGAGATGAATGTTGTAAACTTGCGCAGGTATTCTTGTCGGTAAGGGTTGCCTATGCTATAACCTGTGGAACGCATTTAGCGCAGTTTAATGTAATTATATCTACTTTCTAAATGGATTAAAGTGCATTAAATTGTTTGTTCAGGAATTACTACTAAGTTACGTGCTTACAGTTGTTTTGGTGCTTCTCATTACCAACAAAAATTCTTATTATTAACTGCATCATCAGTTTCAATGTAGAAATAATTACTACAAGGGTATTATAAAATTAAAATTCACATTCAGTTCACTGCTTTTTGACCTAATTCAAAATAATTTGATATAAATAGATTAAATGATTTGTCGCTTGGAAGCTTAAGTTTATTATATATATATACACGATTCTTAATATTTGTTGTCATGAACCGTGTATCCATGTGTCTCCATGTATGCCCATTTTGAGTTATTTTTACTTGGGAAGAGAAACAGGCAAAGTTTTCTCTTGGAAACACATAATTCATTATTTCCTTGCCCATGTTTTTCAAAGAGGCTTTCATAATACGAAGATAGTAAATTCAGTTAATTTATATTGAGAATGAAATAAGGGAAAGACAATGTGTACCTCTAGGTATCGGCAGTAAATGAGGAAAATCATGATAAAATACTGTTGTAAACAGCATCAGTCGCTCAGACCTTACCACAAACAATCCATAATATCTGAAACTCACTAATATCGTAATTTATTCAATACCTTACTGTTCTTCCCTATTGTTAATTACAATGAACACCAGATTATAAAAGTCACAACAATAATTGTGTCACTGATTAAAAAACGTATAGTACACTTTATATGATTGGATACGTATTGGAAAGTTCGATTTTTCCTTTACTTAGAAAAACTAGGTCCCATACATGGTTCAAAAGTGAGTTGATGCCCCTGTATCAAACTCGAGTGTTCTTTATTCGTTCTTCGCTGTTTACTGGGAGTTTCCCTGTTCACCGCTTCGAACTGGTTTCCAACTGCAGCACCTTCTCTCCATTCTGCTACGCGGCGCCGCCGCCTCTCGCATGTAGCCTGCTTTTGCTTGTCTTATAAATTTCATCTGTATTTATTTGCATAATCAGTTTAGTATGGAAGTTTTTGAGAGAATGCCGTGTCGCTTTTATCTCCAAGTACATTCGTTTGTTAGGTCTTTTATCTCTCATGTTTAAGACAAGCGGCTAAAGTTTTTGTTTGTTTTTGCGCATAAATCCGGGAATGAACTTGTACTTTATATTGGACTGCAGAATTAGAAACGGTTGGTTCAACGGGGGAGCAGGACGGAGTTCGGGAAGTTGTTCGCGCGTGAGTCTCTGAAATCCAGTCACCATCGGTTACTTCAGGTACATTAGGACGTTGATATGTGCACCAAAGAATAGCCAGGGAACTACTGATATGTTATGGTTTTGTTATTCTCCTGGGTAAACGTTTACTTTAAATGGACTACATCATCCTCTTTACCACCCGTAGCTTTAATTTCTTCGCTCATTTAAGGGAGAATCTGGTTGGTAGGATTAAGCGTTACCAAAGTTTTGCCGGCAGTCACAGCTGGGGATGGTTAAAAAATACAAATATGACTTTTTTTTTGGAATAACCAGTTATTCAACATTTGTTTTCTTTCGTAAAAACAATCTTTTGAGGAAAAAATATTACGTATGTAATAAAAATACATTTACAGTATGCTAGAACATGCAATACAATAGCCAGCTCGTTACGGTACTTTTCTAGTAAGGAGGAAATGAGATGATTACAATAATATAAAATTCAGCATTCTCTTACTGTAATATTTCCACGTAGACTCCTTGTTGTGTAGATAGTTTATAGTCACAGAATGTCTTAATTGCAAACAATGCAAACGTATCCCATTTTTTGCTGTATGAAGTGAGTATTAGGTAAAAAGTAATTATATTATTAGGACATCAAGTAAAGGCTGTAGGTCAAAACTACTCAGCCAAAAATTGGCCAACCGTCGATTCAAGTCGCAGACGTCAGTCAACGACGCCAAATCCAGTATTCCATTTGCGCATGGGCATCAGTGCATATTTCCTTCTCTCCTTTTCGTACTTATATCTGTTTTTTATCGCCTGGTTAACTGACTTTTATGCTGGCGTCTGTATTAGAACAATGAAGTAAAATATACGCTACCGACGAATTACTGGTTTTATGTGCCTGTGTTTTTTCTCTATCAAGATATGTCAGGAAAAGATGTAGCACATGCAAGCAGGTCTGAGACTGGCATAACACTAAAGTGAAGACACTAAAATTGATATGAAATTCCTTGTTCTTACAGGAATTTCACAATCTCTTCTTTTAGAGATAATTTTATAGCCACGCACACGTGTTCGTGATCATAAAAAGTATTGGATGTAAACATATTGTACTGTGCTAAGTAACATTTTCCTACTCTGGTATTGTTGGCTCTGTCCTCTAGAGAATTTTGTTCTTTATTTCACTTTCTACATTCATGCACTTTTGCTTTTTCTATAATGATTCGGTTCTCATAAATTGTAGAATGTTACTAATTTATGTTATAGTATTATTGCGAAAGAAGAGAAAATGAAAATTTTTAGACCTTAGGATGATTTGCTTTATTTTGTTCTTCCGTCGTCAGGAAAACTTCTGAATGTTGCTCACTGCAGAACAAACATTCAATATATTATTAGAAATTTCACATATGAGATTACTTGATATTTACACATTTGAGATTTCACATCTGTCAAAACATTACTTCAGTCGGCAGCAAAATGATTTTAAATTTTCAATAAATAAATTTATCAATAAATAGTTCTACATGCAGATTTGTTATGGGTGGGTTGCATTCCTATGACATCGTTACTGTTACCCTGCGAAGATGCTGAAAAATGTGTATTATTGCCTGAAAACATTATCTTATTACAGTTCGCAAGAATGTCAATCTCAATGGTTCCATTGTCAACCACTGGTAATTTCAAATTTACATTGCTACGGTCGTTCTTTCAATGCAAATTGTGAGTTGTTCCTGCGTTGTTTATTGCAGCAATTACTTCACTGAATTCCTTCCTTAGTTGTAACACTGATACTAGTCGTATTGAAATACACCAGTTTCGGAAGAATTGGCAAAAGAAAAGTGCCATTTTTGCATATTTGTTCTTACGTCCTGCATGCAGCTTCATGACAACTTATTTATTGAACGGTCAGGATTTTTTACGAGCTTGTGAATGCAAAGAATATAGAATGACCGTTACTGTAAAATTAAAAATTCTCAATTGTGATCCACACGCAGTTAATGTGCAAATAAACCATAACCGTTCTCTCTAATAATTGTAAACATGAATGTTTAAAGAATGTAAAAGCACATCGACAAATTACAGGCTTAAGGAACTTACCACCTAACGAGAGGTCTGTTACAAAGAGAAAAAAATCATATCTGCATTTTCCTTGATAAATGGGTTGATTTCGCATATTTAAGCAGGAAACACTTATATGAAGACTCCTTAGGGCCAAAATTCAATACACCCTCGTATTCGACAGCTCCCTCGTTGTAGCCCGCGTATCCCGCCCGCCTTCTTCCAACTCAGAGGTCCCCAGTGAGGGTGGGCTGACAGTGATTGATAAAGAAAGCGTAATAGATTATCACGTGCCCAGATCAGCTTGCCCCCCCCGTGATAGATGCATTTCACTTCCGACTTCCTTTTGAGTGCTTTAGCTGCAGCCTAATATTTTGATGAGAGCCAGATAAGTAGTTTTAGGATGGAAAGTATTATAATAGCAATATCGCTTTTGCAGGAAAACACATTAATAACAGTCAGTTTAAGCCCGGGTGGCATGGACGGGTTCCCGCCAGACTGCGCCGTTCAGAATGTGCACCTTACAGGAAACGAAACAGAACGTATAGGGTGATACCAAAAACAGTTCCAAGCTTTTGAAATGTGAAAAAACGTCGTAAAGACGGAAATGACACGAAGTTTTCTACATGTAAATTTCAAAATAATCTTATACATTTCGAAGTATTTACGTAGTTGTTTCACTCAATTTCACATTATGCTTTATTCAAAAAAAATGAATATTGATTCTTACGGAGATTATTTTTAGAATTACCATATTTTCCTACATTCTAAAACAACATTATCAAGAAAAAATGTATTAGTAGTGACCAGAAAATATCAAAAGAATGGCAACAAATTCAACAATGGAAGATGATTGATAGAAAGGCGTGTAAAACGTAAAATAAGTCAGAACTGTAGAGAAAAAGATCTATACCCGTCCGCACAAAGACAAAGAAATTAAGAGCACAAGAATCTTAGGTAGAGTGAGGAAGATAGCACATTTCACGGCACCACTCCATTTTCGGCAACAGCCTGTACACGGCTGAGGCGCACGCGAAAATGAAACAAGAAATATGAGCGGACGGCTATTTGTTTCGCTCCGGCGCGCGCCGTCAGCCAGACCGCGCCGCCTCGGTTCGTCTATTTCTGTCTCGTCGCGGTGCCTCGCGCCGCCCACGCGCCCGCGGGGCCGCAGCGCCCAGCCGCCCACCGCCCGCGCGCTCCCACGGCGCCGCTCGCACTACCCACTTCCTGCCTAGCGGGGCCTTTACCTCTTTTGTGGCAATCATTCGCTTGAACAGCTCCCCTGAACCGCTCACTCCAACCCTTCCACTAGGTCGGATTTGGTCGCTGTGTGTAGGGGTAATATAGCGGCCGGCTGATCTC